AAGAGTGCCATCAGCTCTGAGCCAATGGAATTCTCCCAAGTTCTTAATGAACAAATATGATAGCTAATTAGCTAAGGCTAAATGCTAGGAGAAACATATCTTCAAGGTTCTTACAACAAGCTTTTGACAAAGCTGCTGAATATTGCTAATTCATATTCATGTATGAGTAATCAGTCTCAGCAACTTGAATTTCTTCTTGCCATCAATTACTTTACAGACATAAACACTACTTTCATAGTAACAAATACACTACTGCACAATGCTTAATTCTATACACATCAGTCCTGATGTTATCAGAAGATGACTGACAACAAAATAGCTGTTATAGATAGCTTTCCTTTACATACTCTTTTTGACACAACTCCAAACAGAAGTAGTTACATTCTGGCTCCATTTGAGATTCCAATAATGGAACGTCAGGACGTCTGCACCAAATACTTCCCAAAACTATCACTCTGAATCAAGCAAAATGATGAACACCACAAATAGGGTCACATTTCAATAATGCCTCATCACTTCAGTCCACAATGTTGCTAGAGCACCGATAGGGATGCCACTGATTGAAGTAACAAAAAGCTGTAGTGGTTATGAAAGCAACTTTAATAAAAGACAGAAATTATAAGAAAATACTTGGCAATGATACTAACTGCCCTCATTTTTAGGTCAGTTCTGCAAATCTTGGCAGTTGTTTTCTAGTTTTTCCATGAGTTTGGTTTCACATCACAGATTTATCTTCACAAAGGCAAGAAACTTGCCACAGGAGAGATCCTCCTTTCCACAGCTAGTGTGGTAAATATTTAACAGAGCTACTTCACCCATTGGGAATTCCACAATATCACATCATAGGAAATAATTCTCATGCATGCTTGATTATCTCAGTGACATCAAGCTAAGGAAAAAATTAACATTGCTGCTGGCAGGAACCATTTGTCTGTAGCTGTAAGTACTCTTACTGCCACCTCTCCAATCTTCAACATCACAATAGCTCTACATTACAGTGGTACAAGAGACCCCACCAGTAGGAAAAGGTTGGGAACCCAGCACTGAGCTGACAGAGAGGGTGCTACTCTTGAATGACAACTGAGGGACAAGAAAGCTGCTCTTTGATTTAAAAATTATATGGGTCTTGAACTCAACCAGGAACCTAAGTCTCAAATACAAAGGTCAAATTGCAGATTCTTAAGTCACCAGCCATAAAACTACACAGACCACAAAAAGGTTCTCCATATTGCAGGCAGAAGGTTATACATTCAAAACCAGAATCAATCAGTAATCTTCCTGCATAAATGTCAAGATGAGAAAAGGGGAACTTCCTAACCACAAATAGTGGCACATAAGCAGCTTAGGCTGAAGACATCCTTTCTCCAGCTCATCCTGTCTCATAGGCCCAGCTGTCTTTAACTCTTCAAACACATCCAATCCATACACAGTTTTTCTTTCACCATTTAAAAAGGTCAAATAACAAGCTAATTGTCTTATGTAAGACAATTTTTATAGCCCTATTTAGAACGTGACTAGTTTATCCAAAAACACATCTGTGTTATACTATGCAAAATGACAGTGTTTATTTCCAAAAATCTTCAGAAGATAAACATATGGCTTCATAACATATCAACAAAAAGTGGTTCTGTTCTGCTAAGAGGAAAGGCACTGCAGAATCCCTGGCTTATAAACTCCAAAGGTTTCCATGTGAAGTGTCTTTTACATAGCTGACTGGGAAGAAAAAAGGTCAAAAGTATTGGACAACGTAATCTATTTCCATTTCATGCAATATTCCCAACAAAAAATACTATGAGATAAATTCCACTTATTACAGGACACATCCAGTCTCACTGTGAAAAAGTGATTGGAACTGATAGTGAAACAAACAGTAACAGAAGCCAGCTTAACCTCTTAGATGTGTTAGTATTGTGTGGCTAAAAACACAGCACTAGCAAGTGGCAGGTCTTATGTTTCTCAGTAAATGAAAAAGCGATGACAAAGCACAACTTTCACATAATATGAAATATTATATTTTTATTATTTTTTCAATGGAAAAATGGGTCATCCTTAGAAGGCTCTTAACATTCTGAACTCAAATAGTGAAAAATGAAACCTACTGGACAGTATTTCTCAGAAAGGCACACAGCAACTGAAGTCATGAATATACTGTAACATTCAAAAACCTGCAAATGCTGGAGTTTAGTACCTCCTTTTTGTAAACTATTCACTGGCTTCATTAGATCAGTTGAGCTTGAATCTTTCTAATGAAGTAGTACATCAAGATTAAATACAGCAACAGTAAAAGGAAAGTACTAGCCTGTTAACAACCTCCTCACAATATTTTATTTGAAGCTTCTGATGATATTTTCATGGAAATTTTGTATCTAAAATAATTAGAGATTACATTGAACATATAGTCTTAAAAGAGGCTTTGTTCTTTAAGAAATTTATTGCACAAATACATTTTAAAGTATTAGATAACAAGTTAACAAGTGAAATACAGAATTTATTCTTCACTATTAGCAAAATCATACAAAATAGGCAGAGTTTGCATGGTAGTCAAACTTACCTCTCTGATTAGCTTTACTCCTTTTGAATCCTTCATGTTGACAGCTATACTCTGTGGAGACAAAAAAAAAAAATACAACAGTAGTTTATGTGAAAGCCCTTTTGGTGATTATCAGTCCCTTCTAAACAAAACCAGTCAAATTTCACACTGCAGTTAAATCAAGTAAGTAGGATTTTAACATGCATCCCATCTTCCCCTGGAAAAAAAAAACCAAAACAACAAACAAACAAAACAAAGCAAAAACTGTCATCAAAGCAAGTTGAACTGTCTCACCAAAGGATCAGACAAGCACCAAAACATGTTTGACAGATGTGCAGCTGGGAGCTGCACTGCAGTCTGTTCACTGTATGTTTGAACAGCACCTACTACTGCAAGTACACCAGAAACAACAAGTCATTAAACACCTCAGGCATATCATGAAACTTCATCTTCATCTTGAAGTTTCCCAAGATACTTTTATCTAACCTGTGATATGATGCCTGCAGTCAATTTGCACCAGCAGCTGAGGACTGGCAGGACCACTCTTGCTTCTTGAATTTGCCTCAGCTGACCAGAGCATCATACCAGGGCTTGCAGACTTTTCTATTTAAAAGTACTGTTTGTTTTTCTCCTGAAATGTATTCATCATAACCTAAGGTCAACGTAACTATTGCTCCATCTTATGTATTAAGAATCAAACAAAAGAGAAGTGTTATACCTTCAGCTGTAATTACAGGAAACAGGCTAATGTTCAATATCACACTCCATTTACCTTTTTATTTCTATTGACACTAAGAAAATAAACACTTTCTGTTCCAGCAAAAGGTGGCCCCCAGGCTCTTGTATCATCACCAGCTCCTGAAAGAAATACCATCACATTTTTTTAGTTGTCCAATATCACACTGCCAACAAATAAAAATAATAAAAAAGTTTTCCTCCAATGGCATATATAAATCACCTAAGCTTCATCTATTAGGCAGGACAAAAATTAGTTTAATATACACTTAGTAGGATATTTATGTCCAAAAATCACCTAAAAGTTAACATGATTGAGCAAAGTAAACAGTGTTTGCTAGTGTTAGGACTACTTTTAGGCTTTAAAATATTAACATAGAGTCACACAGCACAAATGTATTTGTGATTTTTTGGTTGTTTTTGTTTGGGGGTTGGTGGAGTGCTGGGGAAAGAGGGGAGGTTCTTTTCTTGGTGGAGTGGTTTTAGTTTTAAGTTGGGCTACAATGCCATTGTTTCAGGTAATCCAAATAAATTGTTTTGGGTAAATCCAAATAATTTAGTAGAAGCTCTTGCCCTGCATGAGTCACACAGTGCACATGGTCAATAAGCTATTTCTGAAACACTCCAGGCACAACATCAAGATACCACTGATCAGCAACAACTTGTTAAGCCACATGCTACAGGAACACAAAAAAAAAAAAAGGCACTTCCTATAGCTGGTGCAATCCTGCACCTCCAGCTCTTCCAGAATTGCATCTGCCTTATAGAAAGACAAGATGGTGTTAAAACTGCTGCAGACACTGATGTCACTGTATCGTTTATGCCTGATTTCCAATTTCAAACCTTTCTTAAATGTCATGAAGACTGTCAATCTGTTGTAATTACAATTAAAGCTAAATTTAAATTCAGATATAATCATGATCTCAAGTGCTAGCAAGCATGCTCATTCCTGTATCTATTTCAATATCTAGACTTTACCTTCTTGATACCTTCACACAATTGAAAGCTTTCCTTAGTGAGGCAACACAGAAGACTCCTTGATACTCAATTAGATACAAAAACAAGATGAAGGACTTTTGGCCCTACACAATATGGCCATTATCACAATGATGCTATACATTATGGTAATATGAAGCCTACAGCCATTTAAGATCAACTGTAGTAGAAGTTATACAAACACAAATACTCATCAGCATTTGTACCATTTAGCATCTCAAAGAACTATTTGGTTCAGGTGGGAAGATTGAGGGGAAAAAATTAAATCTCTCTTCTCTATGTTACCACTTCAAGCCATTTGAAACAAAACATTTCAGTAGTACCTTCCATGTATAACACTAATGTGGCTATTACCCTATATGGATTAATACTCCTGTGACAGTAGAGATTCTCTCAGAGAAAGAGTTGATTACTCACATTACTTGCATCACTAAACATTCTAAATTGTTTGAAATTCAGGATTCTCAGGCTGCCCTTCTTCCATCACAAAACTTGCAGCTCCTGATGGATTCAGATCCTGCAGAGCATGTGACGAGCTGATGGAAAAGCAGGAATCTCTCTCCAAAACCTCTGAGTGCAGCAATGGAGCAAGGATAAAGGGAGCAGGAAGGGGTGGGCTTTTGGTCCTCTTGCCTTTTATTGAGTATGGCAGGAGATGGAAGGGAGTACTGACCCCTCTCTGTTCCACCCTCCCTGATCCCTCAGGGTACTAAACACACTCTCTCTAGGTCCTCAGATCAGTACCATAAAATCAGCCTCACCAACTCAAACCATAACAAAACTGAAAGCCAAATGCAGAAAATATTTCTAAAACAGAAACAAATGCCATGCCAGTTACTTTTCTTGTACAGTCTCACAAACTAAAAAGTGTAGCAATTCCATAAGAATTAAGCATTTTTTACGATTACCCACTTAAGCATTCACAAGCCCAACTGTAAACCTTAGCAAAATTCAAGCAAAATTAATTTAGTTTGAATTGATGGAATAAGGCACTTTTGTAAGCAACGACTGAGTACTGGTTTGTACACTAATACATTAAATAGTTACCTAACCATCTAACTTCAACTTTCTCACACTCTTTTCTAAATATAGACAGATTACTTCTGATCAAAATACATGTACACGAAGCACAGTGTTAAACTTCAAGCAAAGAGATCATATGCATATAAGCAAATGTCCTAATAACTAGTTCTCTACTACACCAGAAATAGTATGAGGATGTAAAATGTTTCCAAAAAAAAAACAAATAGCTACAAAATTAATTCTTTCTTACCATATCACCATACACACCGTCATCAAAAATATACCATCACCATATAACCACAGTATTGTCTTTCTAAATATTTCCACAGGCTTTCAATCTTGTTTTTTCAGTCAGATATTACTGAAAATATGTAAGCAACTATTTGTTAAGCTACTGCACATTCTTCTTATATCGAAAATGGATAAATAAAAGACTTACCTGGTCTTTCCACTTTGATAATTTCAGCCCCTAGATCTCCTAAATTCATTGTGGCAAAGGGCCCTGCGAGCACCCTGTCAAATTAAAAAAAGATTGTTCTTTTAGTTTCTCCTATCAGAATATCTGCATCTAAGACAGACTATTCCAAATTACAGACGAAACACAAACCTTGTTAAATCAAGAATTTTCACACCATCCAATGGCTTTGCATTATTAACACCTGACAAGAAACAGAAAACAGTAACTTACTCTTGAAGTATTTTTTTATAAAATTTGTTTCTCATTGGTAGTCTGAAACACTGTTTTTATGACAATCTTCCCTCATCCTCTCTCATCTCCCTCTCCAAATAAAGAATAATAAAACTTACTGCACAGGTAGATTATGAGGAGCATATAACATTAATAAAGCCTTTTAACGTTGGAAAGCCTGACAGTTAACATTGCAGAAACTATTCCCAACACCTAGCAATTCTACAGTGAAGCTGTTTTTCAGAGATACTTTTATATGTGCCTTCCACAAACACCCATATAGCTTTTAAAGACTAATCTGAAGAAAGATTCAATAAAAGCAATAGCAAGCAACATCAGAAAGGCACAAACTAAAGCTAATGGGTAGCAGACCAATGCAAAGCAGCATCTTCACAAAGTGTTTTGACTAGCATAGACCCATGCACTTGCATCACACAAAAAAAGAATATCTGCTTTTAAAACAAAACCACAAGAGGTTACAAAACTGAACACAATGTACAAGCCAAGGAATTATTTGTTCTAACTTCCAATGGCAGTTGCACATGCAAAATAACCAGTAGGAAAATCACAATGCCTTCCTCCTTCCCCTTTCCAACCTGACTAGCTGTGAGAAACAACAGCAGTGGCAATAAGCATCACAGACAGAGCAAACAGTCTCAGTCTAGACCACAGGTTTGCCAACTATTTCTTTGGTGACCTTGGGTTATCTTCCACTAACTCACTGTCTTTACTTGCAGGCTAGGGAATACAAATACAATACATCCACTCTACATGAATGGTAATTTCATTGCTATTTGGAGGGTGGTCTCATATCACTCCCCCTAGAAAAGTCCACCTGGCCAATAACACAACAAAATTACACAATGCTAACATGGCAAGCAACTCTCTTTGGTGTTTGTGAATACCTGTGTCACCTGCACCAAATTCCATCCATCAGATCTGAGCCACCCTTCAGTCACCCCCATTAACTCTCCCTCCTATCTTACTGTATATATGGTAAGGAGATAGATATATAGAAAGATACATAATTAAAAACCCACAGAGATATGAAGCAGCATTGGGAATTCAAAGCTTCTGTTAAGTGTTTTCATTCATTCTCTCAATGCATCTGATTCTTCATCTTCAAGACATTTTCCCCAATTATTACCAGTCACTCCAGAGGGATTTAACAGGTTTGGGGCTTTAACACAACATGCTGACCAAGCAGCAAGTTGAAAAAGTGCTTGTCCAGGAGCAGCTATATAATCTGCACATTTAAAAGCTTTTAGGAAAACTCAGGCTGCCAACTCTCCCCAACACGGGACACCTCAGTGCAAGTTCCAGGTGTTGAAATCTTGTGCTAGAGCCAGGGAAGCACCACAGATCCTCCAGAACAACCTTGCTTTTATGAAGTTGGCCCTAGTTGAACAAATACTTAAGCACGGGCTTATTTGTTAAGGAACCAAGAGTATTTGCTTCACAATGACATTACACCTTGTCTTCAGAGAATGTGGAAGCAACAGCTTTAGGGAAGAGCACAGCTCTGACAAAACAACAACAAAGCAGTACTTTTCGTTAACAAAAAGGATCCATCTTCCTCTATTCTTTGCACACCTTTAAAAGGTGTGCACTCTCTTACTGAATGGTTCACTTACTCTCCTCCTGAGTCAGCATTTGGTTATGTTTCTCACAGATACACTACCAGAACAGTAACTTTCCAGAGCCAAAAGGTTCTTCACCTGTGGGTAACTGTCTTGCAGGAATCCATAAAGGTGTTTCCCAAATAAGCCTGTAAATCGTTAAGATTAGCCTGTAAATATGCATTTATGCATAACTAAGACTGATGGGTGCTTACTAATTACCATAGCACTCACATTATGGTAACATCAAACACTCCATTCTGGGATTAGAACTCCTGTAGTTGGAACAGAACAGGAGTACAATTGCTGTTTAAGAGACAAATGTACCCTCATGAATTATTTCTAATGCTAACAAATAATGCTGATGTCCACAACGATGAAGAAACACAAGAAAGGGATCAAACACTTGCTTCTGAAAATCTGAGAAAAAAAAAAATAGACCCATTAGTCTCTTCAGACTAGAATAGCACAGATACTAACAAAAGAAAGCTTACAGGACCTAGATTCACATTCCAGCAAGACACTAATTTGCTGAAACAATAGAAATCCTTTGACCATCAGAGAACCAGCAGTTCTGGTACACTGATCCTGAGTACCAGGCTGCTACTAACTCCTTACTGCAGGAATAAAAACAAACAGCAACACACTACAAACAAAAGGCTCAGCATTGATCAGTATTGACCAAAACCATCTCCTGATTTATTTTTCCCTCTCCTTACTGGCCTCCTAATTGGCACATTACCCAAAGTTAAACTCTTCCCACAGAGTGTTTTCTGTTAGAACTCTAGCTCAATATTCTAAAATGCAAACTTGTATTTTCTCTTGTATTTTTGCTTTTAATTATTTCAGTAACTTGATGACTGAAAAACCCACTCTCCCAGCTCTAACTACATTCCACCTGTAATCTGTTTATTCCCATGATGCTGGAATTTACTGTAAATTGAAAAAGCAGCATGTATCTTTTACATATAACTGGAGAAAAAAAAATAGATCCACTCACTCTCAATATAATTTAAATTCTTAGGCAAGCTCAGTAGGTTGTCCCAAGGTTGGTCTAACACAACAGTTATGAGTAAACCATCAACAGAGATAGTTCTGTAGAGCAGAATTCGTTTTTGTATTGTAATTCCCCCAAAAAAAGCTTTCCTTTATACTTGTAACAGAAGAGGGCACGGAGAAGAAAGCTGGTTAGTACATTTAATATTTTTTACGATGCAAATTACTAGTAAAGAAATAGATTCCATTCCAATCACATCCAGTTCCAGAGGAGATTACCCCTTGAGCCAATTATCTCTACTTCGATTGCACAATCAGCACCTTTTAACTCACACGTGCAACAAGTTAGTCAAGCCCACCCCTCCCGCGGGTTAATTCACCACCAGCAGGTACATTCCAGCCAGGGATGCACTTGGCAGGCTCCTCTGGATGCACAGTCTCCAAACGTGCTCCACTTTTTAGGCAACCAACGCACCTGTTGGTATTTTCCTACGCTGTTACAAGACAAGAGACACCTAAAAGCCGGAGGAAAGTATTTCGTGGCAGCTCGCTTTTATTTTTCTCCGGCGAAAAGCAAAACAAACGTACGAAGAGCTTCGCACCCTTTCGAAAACGAACGAACAAAAACGGCAACAAACGCAAACAGGGCTGGGGCAGAGGACGCTGCTTCCCCCGCATGTGAACCGAAGCGGCACGGAGAGCGGGAGCCACCGGCATTGCAAGGGTAAGCAAAGTGAGGATAAGAAGTTACAAAAAAAAATATATTGGATATGCAAAGTTCAGTAGTAATATAATTTCATAATAGATAATGAAAAAAATAATTATTTAGCTACTTCAGAGAAAAAGAGAAGATAAAAGGGAAGGTAAGAGCTCTAATTATCAGAAAGTAAATACACTAGAGGGGAGGAAAAGTGGAATTTCTAAGTACTTGCTCTGCTTCAGTTCACTCAAAACAACTCTTCTGTGAAATGATTAATTATGCTGGGAGTAGATGAACAACATAAGAGAAGAGACATCAACACCGTAAAGAGCAAGTGAGAAATTACCTGGACTGAATTAATGTTTTGAATCAGCAAGGCCAGATTAAATCCATCAGAGAGTACTAAAGGAATTAGCCAATGAGGTTTCATAGTCCATGGCAAATGATTTTACAGAACTCCAAGGAGATCCTAGGGTTGCAGATTAGAAGCCTGACATCCATTATAGGAAACATACCAGCTAAAAAGAGATGTAACATGAATAAAAGTATTATTAGTGCTAGAATGATGTTAAGGCACAGAGCAAAACAAATGTTAGCGTTTAAAAAGGACTTATATATTAGACAGAAGTGTCGTATATATGATATCTTTTGCCAAATAAGCATATTTACTACACTAATTCAAGGTATTGTAAGGTACAACCTGTAGAAAAGAAAAATCTAGGTTACCATAGCTCACTGAAACCAGATAGCATCTACACCAAATATTACCGAAACATTTCAGAAAGCAGAAAACCAAAGATGATTGCTCAATAAGGACTCTACGAACTTCATAGTTCTAGTAATCCTTAATAAACCCACACTTAATCCCCAGTCCATTAACTGTTGGCCTAGCTTAAATCCCTCTTTCCTCATAATTGATACTTCTTAACTTGTAAGATTCACATCTCAAAATCAGAAGTCAAAGTAGAAAACTAGTATGACTTATAACTTTTAAGTTTATACTGCTGGGCTCATCTACAGCCTCTTGAACATTAGATACAGATAAATCACCCATAAAGCAAAAAAGTAGATACTAAGTCACTCTCCTGAACAGAAGTCAGTTAATGGTGACAGATAAATGTTGCCATCTACAAAAAGTTTTCACCTCCAGTGTTCCCCCAGATTACCTTCTCTGTTTCTCTTCCAAATCTATCAGTCCACTGATAGCAACATGCCTTGGTCTTTGTTTCCAACATTAGACCAAATGTATAACTTATAGAATCATAGAATCATAGAATCATAGAATCTTAGGGGCTGGAAGGGACCTCGAGAGATCATCTAGTCCAACCCCCCTGCCAGAGCAGGGTCACCTAGAGTACATCACACAGGAACTCATCCAGGTGGGTTTTGAATGTCTCCAGTGAGGGAGACTCCACAACCTCCCTGGGCAGTCTGTTCCAGTGCTCTGTCACTCTTACAGTAAAAAATTTTTTTCGGATATTCACCTTGAACCTCCTATGCTCCAATTTACACCCATTACCCCTTGTCCTATCACTGGTCATCACTGAGAAAAGCCTAACTCCATCTCCCTGACACTCACCCCTTACATATTTGTAAACATTGATGAGGTCACCCCTCAGTCTCCTTTTCTCCAAGCTAAAGAGACCCAGCTCCCTCAGCCTTTCCTCATAAGGGAGATGTTCCACTCCCTTAATCATCTTCGTAGCTCTGCGCTGGACTCTTTCAAGCAGTTCCCTGTCCTTCTTGAACTGAGGGGCCCAGAACTGGACACAATACTCCAGATGTGGCCTCACCAATGCAGAATAGAGGGGGAGGAGAACCTCTCTTGACCGACTAACCACACCCTTTCTAATGCACCCCAGGATGCCATTGGCCTTCTTGGCCACAAGGGCACATTGCTGGCTCATGGTCATCCTCCTGTCCTGTCTCCTCATCTCAACGTTGCTTCACTGAAGGCGCAGCGTTACTGAAGCTGTATCTCCGTTTGTGTGTCATTTGGGGAAGGGTTAACTTGAATGGGCCTTCAAACGGTTCCTTCCCTCAGCTAAGTGCTTTCAGACTGGTTTTAGTTCGTGTTGGGACAGTGGAAGGCTCTTTATATGAAAGCTACGGGGTCTTCTTGCTCCGCGATAGCATAGAACAGCATTTATTTGTGAGAAATACACTGTCCTCACCTCTTGCCTGTCCTCATGAGGCAGCCACCGCACCTCGAGGGCAGCTAAAACTTCTGACTCCCCAACGAGGGCATTAGGAAGAGCAGAGACTCAGCAGTGTTGCATGACAGAGGTGCTGAACGCTGAGGAGGAGCACACAGAAAATCTACAGAACCGGTTTGTGCAACGTGTAATAACAAGCGTGATGTGGGTGCTGAGGAACCCAGAAGCCATTAGGGTTTGTCAGCAAGAAGTTGATCCCAGTATAACTCAGCGTGTGGCAACATGTCTTTCTCATCCCTTCTGTGTGAAGAAAAGGTTGAAGTTAAAATAAGCTGCTTCTAGAGCAAGACTGATTCGACAGAGAAACGTGTATGTGGAAACTGTTTTGTGTGTCATTCCTGGTGTGCATCACACTAATAAATGGAAAACTGTTTTCGAGAGAAGATGAAAGAGTAAAGGACTGACACAAAAATTGAAGTGGGCAGGTTTAGTCCCCATTTTAGAACTGCAAGGATTATAGTTTCGTGCTTCCACCAGGCAGGGTCTAAAACGGTTGAGAGCCGAGTTGACTGAAAACAGAAAAAAATCCCCCTTAAGAAAAGCCGAACTCCAAACAAAAAAAGCCACCTGGCCATAGCCAAAGAGCTACTTTGTGTATCTCACTGCTAGAGCTACCACCCTACTGAAGATTTGGTAACAGTTCAAACTGATGTTAAAAAAAAACACCCCACAACCTTTCAATTAAAAGCACTCTTTAAATACTGTTTTCAGTTTGCCCCACGACAACATACGTAGGATTTGCAGGCTCCTGTATGAAAAGACTACACAGTAAGGGGGCACAAATGCGTGTATGCATTCGGATGGCGGCGGCGGGGCCTGGGGCCCTGCTCCCCGGCGGGACGGATGGCGGCGGGGCCTGCTCCCCGCTCCC